CTACACTTACTTTGTTTTTTATACTAAGAGATACAACATAATAGCTTAATGTGGTTTTGATTTGCATTTCCTACATGACTAGTAGTTATTAAGCATCTTCTTAATGTTCCTATTGGTCAGTTGAACATGCTTTTTGAAGAACTGTCTATTCAAACTCTGCCTGTTTTTCAATTGGGTTTTATTAAGTTGTAAACATTCAGTTGAATGGTTCCACTTGGAGATTTGGGATTTGTCTGTTGTGTTGTTGTTATTCACAGCAGCAGGGTAAATAACTCTTTCCGGGTGAAGAGCAGTAGAGAGTCCATCGCTAGTTTTAATCTTGTGCAGCTGATCAGTAACGGTGCCTGTGCCAGCCCTGGGGCTCAGGCACTGTCGGCTTCCTGGGAGTCAGAGGCTGCAGGCTCACTGCTGTCCCCCTGGGCCAAGTGCTCCCTGCCACATGGGGCGGGGGACTGGCGCTCTGCCTGTGATTCCGCTAAGCACCTGCGTCTCCGCTGCTGTCCGAGTCACTGTCATTGCACCACAGGCTCATCGTGCTCGTCAGAGTCGGCATCGTCCTCTAGATCGGCATCGCAGCCAGATCATCTGCTTGTCCCAGGAGGCCTGGGCTCTCCTGCTCGCCACTGCCATTCTTGTCACTCGCCTCATCCCTGTCACCCCTCTCCTGTTCACTCTCGCTGCCCGAGCATGCGTCTTCACTGCTGCTGCCCTTCTCACCCTCATCTGTCAGGGAGCAGAGAGGTGTGAGTCACAGTTCCCGTCCCACTCCTGGGGCCCCAGCGCTGGCCTGACCTGCGTGACCTGAGCCCCCAGCCTTGTTCTCTTCTGCCTCCATCTCTCCTCTTTCCCCTCCTCGGGTTCCGGTTTTCCGCCTGGGCTTTGCATGCCTGCTGAAGCAGCAGAACTGGAGGGGGCGGGGGAAGGCAAGTGCTGTATTGGGGCTCTGTCCCTCCCCTCACCTACCACTCTCCTCTGGCCGGCAGAGTCTTGCTACCTGGGCTTCCAGCTCCTTCTTAGTCACACCCCGTTTTGAGGACCACAGGCAGGGCCTTGGTGCCTGACTGCACCCCAGCCTTGCAGCACTTCCCGAGGCAGACCCTGGAGTGGGCGTGAGATGGGACGTGGAGGAATGTTAGCCTCCTCAGTGAGGACGCAAGTCAGACGAGGTTCCCTTTCCATGTGTGGCCCAGCGCAGACCAGAATAACACGTATTGGAGGAGGGAGATTATCTCAAGGGATTGGGGGAGGGGTTGGGGGAAGATGGTCAGTTTGTCTTGCCCCATGCTATGTCTGTCTGTCTACATATATGCACACATACACACATATCTTCAAAAGGTAGTGGGAAGCTGGCGCCTCAGCTCAACAGGCTAATCCTCCACCTAGCGGAGCCGGCACACCCGGGTTCTAGTCCCAGTCAGGGTGCCGGATTCTGTCCCGGTTGCCCCTCTTCCAGGCCAGCTCTCTGCTATGGCCCAGGAATGCAGTGGAGGATGGTCCAAGTACTTGGCCCTGCACCTGCATGGGAGACCAGGAGAAGTACCTGGCTCCTGCCATCGGATCAGTGTGGTGCGCCGGCCGCAGCACCGGCTTGAATCTAGTCTTTTTAGCATTTATTTCTCTCTCTTAAATTTATCATTTAAGGCCTGTTGAGTGGTATGGTGGTTGTCCTTGAATCATTATCTGGTCATTGTTTTAAGGGAAACTTAGTCTACTTTTTAAATCAATCACAATTTATGCATTTCAGTTTTGATAGATAATGTGATAAATATGAACTATTTTATTTACTTTGAATAATTTCCTTGGGAAAAGTTCACCAAAATAAAAACTCTGCATTGACAAACTGGAAAAATTACTGAACCAGATATTAACATGTATTTAAAGCCATGATAGCAAGTAAGGCATGGGTATTGTAAATGAAAACAAAACTGGACTTACCAAAGATAGAAATTATTCAAAGGAAACTGCAACAAGGGGCAGCAGACTATTGGAATAAGAATGTTCTGATCAGATGCAAACATTTGAGGGGTCAGGTGAAACAGGCTTCCTTCCTTCCTCCCTTCTTTCCTTTTTCAAAGATTTATTTATTAGAAAGGCACAGCAACAGAGAAAAGGACAAAGATCTTCTTTCTTCAGGTTCACTTCCTAAATGGCTGTAGCAGCCACTGGATTGGACCAGGCCAAAGAGAAGAGCCAGCAACTCCATCCTGGTCTCCTCGCAGGGGTGGCAGGGGCCTAAGTACTTGTACCACCATCTGCTACCTTCCCAGGCACATTAACAGGAACCAGGTTCAGGAGAGGAGCAGCTGGGACTCCAACTAGTACCCAGATATGAGATGCCAGGTATTCGAAGTGGTTGCTTAACTCACTATACCACAGTGCCAGATCAATAGCTCTTCTTTTATAGGAAAAAGAAAATAAGCTTCAGGGACTATCTTTCTTTGGAGTATTATTTATTTTATAGGGCAAAGTAAGGAAAGCTAAGGAGCAGCTATTCTGCATGCCACTTTGGGTGGCTGAAGGTTCAAAGTTCAGGTTCTTGTGGGAGGAGACAAGCTTAATTAAATTGATCAAGTCAGTTAATAAATACTTGCTTTTGATGGTTCGATTCAGATAAATATTTCAGCTAAACACCTCTGTAACACAAATGGAAATTTGGAGGGAGTGTGTCTGAAATAACAAAAAGGTGAGATTGTAAGGGTAAGTGTGGGAAAGATATTTCCCCTACCTCACTTTCCTTGAAGCATTTCCATTAGAGAAATTGTAGTGACAAACTCTTTTCTATCCTTTTCAGATTCATACAAATGTGTGTACGTGTAATATATGTACCTATATAAAATACTATTTAAAAAGTAAATAGGATTCTCACCTGCTTTAAAAATCAAAGTTTTTCCTTAAGTTCTTTTGGAGCCATTTCATTGGAAGTTAAGCAATGAAGAAAGCAGCCCAATCTCCCAGGCTCTGCAGAAGTTTTGCCTGGGTACCTGGCTCTTAGCACAGAAGTATAAGAAGTCTAATTTTTTATAAAGGTATTTAAATAACAGATAGACACTTCAATTAGCAGGTGCATTAGGATGAATATGTGGCAATTAGTGCTCTCAAGTCAAACTGGCAAGGTGAGTATTATCTAAGTCATCTGGGAAGAATTGTTCTTTGCAATAAACTATTTCTGAGAAAGAGAAGCATGCAGGATTCCTCTGTCCCTGTGTTTCTGGGCTACAGAGCTCAGGTAAAGTTCAATATTGTCAGAAGTGACACAAAATTAGACAAAGAAATCAAAGCATCAGGGTTGAGTCTAGAAGTAAAAATACATATATATATATATACATATATATATATACATAATTAAGTTGTGACAAGGGTGCCACTGAAAGAAAATATTAACAGGGGACAGCACTGTGGGGCAGTGAGGTAAAGACCCAGCTTGCAGTGCCAGCATCTCATATGGGCATTGTTTCAAGTCTTGACTACTCCATTTCTGATCCACCTTCCTGCTAATGCACCTGGGAAAGCAGTGGAAGATGGCCCAAGTCTGTGGGCCCCTGCACCCATGTGGGAGACTGGAGGAAGCTCCTGGCTCCTGGCTTCAGATCAGCTCAGCTCTGGCAATTGCAGCCATTTGGGGAGAGAAACCAGCAGATGGAAGATCTCTCTCTCTCTGCCTCTCTATAACTCTGCTTTTCAAATAATATTTTCCTTTTTTTTAAAAAAAAAGTTTATTTAATAATTGAATGTTTTCAATAATTGGTGAAGGTCACTGACTATATATATGGGAAAACAACTGACTTCTATATTGTACCTTGCACCAAAATTAATCCAGGAAGATAATAATCTATGTGAAAAATAAAATAGTGCAACGTCTGGAAGATACCACAGGAAATAAACTGCAGGACCTTGGTGGCAGGTAAAGATCAAGAATATTACTCATAAAACAAAGACTTATTTACATGAATTACATTAAAATTAGAAACATCTGTACCAAAGGAAATGATCAGGGCCAGTGCTGTAGCATAGCAGGTTAAGCCGCAGCTGGTGGTGCCAGCATCCCAAGTGAGCTCTGGTTCAAGTCCTGGCTGCTTCACTTCCATTCCACTCCCCTGCTAATGCACCAGGTAAAGTAGTGGAAGATGGCCCAAACCTCCCGGGGAACTTGTTCCCCATGTGGAGACCTGGAAAGAAGCTCCTGGCTCCGGACTTCTTATCAGAAACCCTATAGGCTAGGAGATAATGGTGAGATATAGTGCAAGTTTGCAAGTTTAACAGGGAAAAAAAAAAAAAACCTGCCAACCCAGAATACTATAGCCAGCAAAGTTCTGATTTTGAATAAAGGGTAAATAAAGACTCTTACCACAAACAGAAATTGAAGAATTTGTTGGGGTTGGCACTGCGGCATAGTAGACAAAACCGCCACCCACAGTGTCAGCATTCAACATGGGTGCCAGTTTGAGTACAGGATGCTCCACTTCCTATCCAGCTCTCTGTTATGGCCCAGGAAAGCAGTACAAACTGGCTCAAGTCCTTGGGCCCCTGCACCCACGTGGGAGACCCGGAAGAAAATCCTGGCTCCTGGCTTCAGATTAGCGCAGCTTCCGGTTGTTGTGGCCAATTGGGAAGAGAACCAGCGGTTTGGAAGACCTCTGTCTCTGTCTCTCCTTTTCTCTCAGTGTTCCTCTGACTTTCAATAAGTAAATCTTAAAAAAAAGAATTTGTCACCATTCTTCCAGCCTTACAAAAGATGTTTAAGGATGTGCTATACGCAAACACAGAAATATGATCATCAATATTAAAGAATGTGAAGGCAGAAAATCTCCAAGTAAAGGTACAAAGGAATCCAAAGTAAACAATAGGAATATTAATGCACAAATGGCAGGGACAATTGTAATTATCAATAGTCACCTTGATCGGGGCTGGAGCTGTGGCGTAGCAGGTAAAGCTGCCTCCTGCAGTGCCGGCATCCCATATGAGTGCCAGTTTAAGTCTCAGCAGCTCAACTTTCAATCCAGTGCTCTGCTGTGGCCTGGGAAAGCAGTAGAAGATACAAAGTCCTTGGGCCCCTGTACCTGCATGGGAGACCTGGAAGAAGCTCCTAGCTCCTGGCTTTAGATCACTGCAGCTCTGGCCAAGGCAGCCAACTGGGGAGTGAAACAGTGGATGGAAGACTCTCTCTACCTCTCCTTCTCTTTCTGTAACTCTGCCTTTCAAATAAATAATAAATCTTAAAAAAATAGTCATCTTTCATGTAAATGGCCTCAACTTTCCAGTAAATGATACAGACTGGCTGAAAGAATGAATAAACAAGATCTATCTATTTGTTGCCTACAAGAAACACATCTCACCAACAAAGATACACACAGACTGAAAGTTGAAGGATGGAAAAAGATATTCCATGCTAACTGAAACTAAAGAAGACTGGTTTAGCCATCCTAACATAATACAAATAGACTTTAACACAAAAACTGTTCAAAGAGACTAAGAAGGGTACTAGGTAATGATTAATTGCCAATTAATAGGAAGATGTGACTATAATAAATTTATATGCACCTAATTACAGTGCACCTGGCTATAAAAAAATGTTAAGGTATTTAAAGGGAGACATAGCCTTCAATATAACAGTATTGGGGGATTTGAATATCCCACTTTCAGCAGTGACAAATCAGACAAATTTTCAGCAAGGAAACAACAGAGTTATTGATACTATAGTCCAAATGGACCTCATAGATACCTACAGAACTTTGCATCCTATAGCTGCAGAATGCACATTCTTTTCACCAGTGCATGAAACACTTTCTCTACCATTTATCACATTCTAGGCCATAAGCAAGTCTCAGCAAATTCAAAAAATTCAAAATCATATCATGTATCTTCTCTGACCACAATGGAATGAAGATGGAGATCAGCAACTCAAGAATCTGTGGAACATATGCAAACACATGGAAACTGAACAAGATACTCCTGAATGAACAGTGGGTCATAGAAGAAATAAAAAGAGAATTAAAAAATTTTGGAAACATATCAAACTTATGGATACAGCAAAAGTAGTCTTAAGAGGAAAGTTTATACCAGTTGGTACCTACATCACGAATTGGAAAGGCATCAAATAAATGAGCTATCAATGCATCTCAAGTAAGTAGAAAAACAACAGAAAATCAAACCCAACACTAGTAGGACTTAAGAAATGATTAAAATTAGGGAAAAAATTAAAAAAAAATACAAAAGATCAGCAAAACAAAGACCTGTTTTTTGAAAATATAAACAAGATGGATAAACCATTTGCCCAAATAACAAAAAAAAAGAGGGAGAAGATCCAAATCAATAAAAGCAGAGATAAAAAAATGTAACAACAGGTACCACAGAAATAAAAAGAATCATCAGGAATTACTACAAAGAGCTTCATGCTAACAAATTAGGAAAATTAGGAGAAAAACAATGGACACATAGATGCTACCAAAATTGAGTCATGAAGACACATAAGACATAAAAAGCCCAATAACCAAGATGGAAAATGAATCAGTGATAAAGACACTCCCAACAAAGAGAGGTTAAGAACTGGATGGATTCACTGCTGAATTCTACCAGATATTTAAAAAAAGAACTAATTTCAGTTCTTAAGTCATTCAAAACAATTGAAGGGGGGAACCTCCCAAACTCCTTCTATGAAGCCAGCATCACCTTAATTTCTAACCTGAAAAAGATACAACAGAAAAAGAAAACTATAGATGAATTTCCCTAATGAACATAGATGCAAAAATCCTCAACAAATCTTAGCCAATCGAATCCAATAGCACATCAAAAATATCACTCACTGGATCAAATGATATTTATCTCTGGTACACAGGGATGATTCAGTCTTCACAATCAATCAATGTGATACATCACCTTAACAAACTGAAGAACAAAAACCATATGATTATCTCAACAGATGCAGAGAAACATCTGATAAAATACAACATCCTTTCATGATGAAAACCATAAGCAAATTGGGGATAGAATGATCATTCCTCAACACAATCATGGAAATTTATGTCAAACCTATGGCCAGCATCTAACTGAGTGGGAAAATGTTGGAAGCATATCAACTAAGATCTGGAACCAGATAAGGATGCCCACTCTCACCACTGCTATTCGATATAGTCCTGGAAGTTTTAGCCAGAGCCATTAGACAAGAAAAGAAAGCAAAGGGAAATAAATTGGGAAGGAGGAAGTCAAATGATCGCTATTTACAGATGACATGATTCCATATATATGGGATCCAAAAGAAACAACTAAGAGACTATTGGAACTCATAAGAATTTGGTAAGTGGCAGGATATAAAATTAACACACAAAAATCAATAGTTTTTCTATACAGACAATGCCATAGCTGAGAAAGAACCTCTAAAATAATCCCAGTCACAATAGCTACAAAAAAAAAATTGAAAACCTTAGAATAAATTTAACCAAGGGCCATCAAAGCTTTCTATGATGAAAATTATAATGCATTAAAGAAAGAAATAGAAGACACCAAAAGTGGAAAAATCTTCCATGTTCATGGGCTGGAAGAATCAATATCATTAAAATATACATACTACTGGGGTTTGTCTGAGGAGAGAACTGGTGGATGGAGGACCCCCCCTCTCCCTCCCCCCTCTGCCTCTGTCTCTCTGTAACTCTGCATTTCAAATAAAATGAAAAAATATTTTTTTAAAAGAATTCCATACTACTGAAAGCAATTTACAGATTCAATGTGATCTCGATCAAAATACCAAGGACATTCTTTTCAGATCTAGAAAAAACAATCCTGAAATTCATATGGAAACAGAGGAGACCTTGAATAACTAAAGCAATCTTATACAACAAAAACAAAGCTGAGGCATCTGAATACCAGATTTCAAGACATACTACAGGGCAGTTATAATCAAAATAGTCTGTTACTGGCAAAAAAATAGACATGTAGACCAGTGGAACAGAATAGAAACTCCAGCAATCAATCCATGCATCTACTACCAACTTACCTTTGACAAAAGAGCTAAAATCAATCCCTGGAACAAGAACAGTCTCTCTAACAAATGGTGCTGGGAAAAGTGGATCTCCAAATCCAGAAGTATGAAACAAGACCCCTACGTTACACCTTATACAAAAATCCACTCAAAATGGCTCAAAGGCTAAATTTATGACCCAATACCATCAAATTATTAGAGACAATTGGGTAAACTGTGCAAGACACTGGCATAGGCAAAGACTTCTTGGAAAAGGCCCCAGAAGCACAGGCATCAATGCCAAAATTGACAAATGGGATTATATCAAATTGAAAATTTTCTGGACTGTAAAACACACACGCAGCAAAGCAAGAGGCAACCAACAGAATGGAAGAAAATATTTACAAACTAGGCAACTGATATATGATTAATACACAGAATCTAAAAAGAGCCCAAGAAACTCAAGAGCAATAAAACAAACCATCCAATTTAAAAATGGGCAAATGATTTTATCAGGCATTTTTCAGAAGAGGCAATTCAAATGGCCAACTATCACTTGAAAAAATTCTCAGGATCACTAACCATCAGGGAAATGCAATCAAAAGCACAATGAGGTTTCACCTCACCCCAGTTAGAATGGATTTCATACAGAAATCAACAAAGAATAAATAATGGTGAGGATGTAGGGGAAAAGATATCCTAATCCACTGTCAGTGGGAATGTAAGCTGGTACATCCACTGTGGAAGACAGTATGGAGATACCTCAGAAATCTGAATATATTGGGGCTGGCACTGTGGCAAGGTAGGTTAATCCTCTGTCTGCAGTGCCAGCATCCCACGTGGGCATTGATTCTAGTCCCAGCTGCTCCTCTTCCCATCCAGCTCTCTGCTATGGCCTGGAAAGCAGCAGAAGATGGCCCAAGGGCTTGGGTCCCTGCACCCACATGGGAGATGTGGAAGCTCCTGGCTCCTGATGGGCCTACGTCCAGGAGTTGCGGCCATCTGTGGAGGTGAAACCAGCAGATGGAAGACCTTTCTCTCTGTCTCTCCCTCTCACTGTCTATAACTCTACCCTCTCAAATAAATAATCTTTTTAAAAAAATTGAATATAGCCTTACCATGACACCGCCATCCATTCCTGGGAATTTACCATAAGGAATAAACTCAGCATATGCATACAAATTATATACCTATGTATATTGTAATTCCTCTGAAGGAAATCATGTAGTTCTCAGCCACATTACAAAAACACTGATCTATACTGTAAAAGAAGTATTGATGCTGGGGCCAGTGTTGCAGCACAGCATGTTAGGCCACTGGTTAACAATGTCAGCTTCTCCTAAGAGCATGGGTTTGACTCCTGGCTTACTCCACTTCCAGTCCAGCTCCTTGCTAATGTGTCTGGGAAAGCAGTGGAATACGGTCCAAATTCTTGGGTCCCTGCACCCATGTAGGAAACATGGATGGAGTTCCTTTTCTCCTGACTTTAACATGGCCCAATCCCAGGTATTGTGGCATCTGGGGAGGTAAACCAGTGGACAGATCTCTCTTCTCTTCTCTCTTCACTGTCTTTGAAAATATACCTTTCAAATAGATAAATCTTACAAAAGAAATAAAGAAGGAGAGAGAGAAAGAGAGATGGAAGGAAAGGAGGAAGGAGGGGAGGGAAAGAGAAAAAGGAAGGAAGAAGAAAAGAAGAAAGGAAAAAAAAAGAAGAGGTTTGAAGGTTTTGCATATGTCATTCACATATATTAGAGGTAGCAAAAAATCGGTATGGAGACTCATTAAAAAAACATTGTGGTAGATCTCTTTAATGATGGCTATAAGTTTTTGGAAAATTTGCTAATAGTGGGGATGGAACTGAAAGAATATGGATTCAAGAGATATTTAGGATTTAGATATTTACATTAATAGAAGCTACTGATGGATTGAACATGGCTGAGACAAATTGGTAGTGTAAGAATCTTAGGTTTCTTTCTGATGCTTTAATGGAAGTGCTGAATGAAGAGAGACAGAGACAGAGATAAAGACAGAGACACAGATACAGATACAGACACAGGCATGGACACAGATTGAAAGAGGATGGGAGAGAGGGAAAAAGAGATGGTTTTTGTCTATTTTTTGATGGTGACAGTCAAGAGAGAAGAGCTAAAAAGTTTGGCTTTAGGCAGTGCAAATACAGTGCTTGTCATAAGAACATATAAGATGATTTGTAGATATTTGGATGTATGAATTAGAATATGTTAAAAGCCCCAAATTGAAAATAATTTTTTTTTTTTTTTACTTTTATTTAATGCATATAAATTTCCAAAGTACGACTTATGGATTACAATGGCTTTCCCCCCATACCGTCTCTCCCACCCACAACCCTCCCCTTTCCCACTCCCTCTCCCCTTCCATTCACATCAAGATTCATTTTCGATTATCTTAATATACAGAAGATCAGCTTAGTATACATTAAGTATGGATTTCAACAGTTTGCTCCCACACAGAAACATAAAGTGAAAAATAATAGATGATTTTTTAAAATGATGATGAAATCAGATTAGACCTATTGTCATGTTTAATCCCAGTGTGAGTCAAGTTGGGAATTGATAATTTCTTTTTTTTTTTTTTTTTTTACAGAGGATCAGTTTAGTATGCATTAAGTAAGGATTTCAACAGTTTGCACCCCCATAGAAACACAAAGTGAAATATATTGTTTGAGTACTCGTTATAGCATTAAATCCCAATGCACAGCACATTAAGGATAGAGATCCTACATGAGGAGTAAGTGCACAGTGACTCCTGTTGCTGACTTTACCAATTGACACTCCTGTCTATGGCATCAGCAATCCCCCTATGCTCCAGTCATGAGTTTCCAAGGCTATGGAAGCCCTCTGAGTTCTCCGACTCTTATCTTGTTTAGACAAGGTCATAGTCAAAGTGGAGGTTCTCTCCTCCCTTCAGAGAAAGGTACCTCCTTCTTTGATGGCCTGTTCTTTCCACTGGGATCTCACTCGCAGAGATCTTTTGCCAGAGTGTCTTGGCTTTCCATGCCTGAAATACTCTCATGAGCTTTTCAGCCAGCTCCGAATGCCTTTAGGGCTGATTCTGAGGCCAGAGTGCTATTTAGGACATCTGCCATTCTATGAGTCTGCTGAGTATCTCATGTTGGATCACTCTCCCCTTTATTTACTCCATCAGTTAGCGTTAGCAGGTACTAGACTTGTCTATGTGCTCCCTTTGACTCCCAGTCCCTTCACCATGACCAACTGTGAACTGAAACTGATCACCTGGAACAGTGAGATGGCATTGGTACGTGCCACCTCGATGGGATTGAATTGGAATCCCCTGGTATGCTTCCAACTCCACCACTTGGGGCAAGTCAGCCTGAGCATGTCCCAAATTATACATCTCTTCCCTCTCCCATTCCCACCACCATGTTCAACAGGGATCACATTTCAGTTAATTTTCAACACTTAAGAATAACTGTGCATCAATTACATGTATTACATGTATTACATGTATTCATGTCATTATCTTTTCAGTCTAAATAGTATTTCACAGTTTGACATTTTATGCCAAATTGAAAATAATTTAAAAAACTATCAAAAAGCATCTATATTGGAAGGAGTGCACTCATAAAATGTCAAACTGTGAAATACTATTTAGACTGAAAAGATAATGACATGAATACATGTAAGGCATTATTAGTGCAATGGAAAATATTTCATTATAGGTGGACTGAAACTTCAGCTTCAGTGTGAACTAAGAACCAGTTCTCTGTCCAGAGTCTTGTTATTCAAGTGATCAGATGTGTTTTACTGTTCCTCTTTATATACAAATTTCTTGGCCATATGTTAAATTTTAGTCTCCTACTGAAAGCATGAGCTTTTTCCCTCTTTACAGCTGGATAAATCTAGAGCTTGGTTCATATTTGAAAGTCTGGACTTTGTCCACAACAAAAGATGTGACACAAAATATCTTTCATATATGCATCTATATGTTTGATATGCAGACATACATGCTCACATATGTAAAAGTAAAATATATAGTATATACTGTGAGCTTCCAGTGTCATGATGGCTCTGAAGATGCTCTGAAAAGTATGAAATTCTATCCTGATGTGAGATGTTCTTGTAATACTATTTGATTTGTACATACATATACTACAGTGTTTGGGAGGAGGGTAGGAAAGAAGGGGCTTTTAATATGCAAATCTGTAAAATAACTTCCTCAACAGAGCAAGATTTTTATCACTCCACCATGAAGGAGGAGAAATTATTGTGCTTTGCTGCTAATTACCCTAAGGTATTTGACTGTTTACAAAGAGTAAGTAAAAGTAAACAAATACTGACATTTCTAATACTGAGCAAATTCCTAATTTCTTGCTTTGTATTAGCAACTTTTTAATGTACCAAGTATCTCCAAAATACCTTAAAATTTGCAGAGTGCTTCACATACATGCTTTCATTTGGATTCCATAGTAATACCCACATTATTTTGTTTATTTCAAGAGAAATTATCTTATTTAGAAAGTAGCAGGATTGTGACTCAAAACAACTTCTCTGGTTCCCTGTCATATGCTCTTTATTTCCTAAAGGTTGTCTTGTAGGTTTTTTTTTCTTTTGCTTTTTAATCCTAGAAAGCAATGGGACAGTATTTTTCATTTGTGCATTTATATTATAATAAAAGCCTATGTTCTAGGAATTATATTTTTAGTACTCCTGCCAGTGAATTTTAAAAATATTTATTTTAGATGTGGGAAAAATATAATCTTGCCTCTTAACTTGCTCAGGAAGAGAAAGGGGTCTATGACCGCTGACCCATAGTGACTATATTAATAAGCAGTAGATAGAAAGTGTAAAAGCAATACAGAATCTAAAGTTTTCATCTAAAGTCAGAGCAATTAGAATGATAGTATCTCACACTTACTGAACACTTATTATATGCCTGGCACAATTTAACTCCTTCAATTTTTTGAATTATTTAATTTTCAGGGTAATCAATGAAATAGATATTATTCCTGTCTAAACACAAAACACAAAGAAATGGCCACACAGAAACCATGATTCTTTAGGAGGCAAGGTTCTAATGGGAAAGTTAAACATTCTAGGACTACAAATGTAGAGGAAATAATGATTCAAAGACTGAAAATGGTTTTAAAAGAGGGGAAAAGATTTCTCAGGTTTCACAAATTCTATCCACATATAAAAATTTAGTTATTCCCATTTTATTGGGAATGATTGAAACCGTCCTTACTGTATACTGAATTTTACAAGTAACCTCTATGATTATAGAACTATTTCATTAAAAATGTACAAAATAAATGTCTTCTGCTTCTCAAAATTAGGTGCTTTTCTGAGTATTGCATGAACCCTGTATCTTTACTATATCCACACTGTCAACCACTCATTTTTTAAAAAAAAACAATTTGAGAGGTAGGGATGATAATGGGTTTTAGGGTCCAAACAAACTTTCAAACTCACCCAACACCATGAAGTGCTCATATTCTACAAAGGAACACCTTGCAGACATTGTATTATACACACACCTGTACACAAGGACACAAAGGCACACACACAACATTTGAAGGAATGTGCCCGAAGGTTTCTCTACCTACAATTCTGTTTCTTGCCGAGGATGGAAAGAAAGTTGATGGATCATCAATGAGGAAGAGCTCTTGACGATGTCTGCTGAACTGGGCAGCGAAATATTCAGGATGAGGATACTTCACACTCGCTGGAAGTTTCACAGCCGAAAGCATATAGGTCAATGGAGTGTCCTCATTTTGGGGAACATCACTCTCCTTAATAGGCATTTTGATTCCCAATACTTCAGCATAAGTAACTAATACCTCCCAAGGAGCATGGATCTTGACAAAGTAAGTCCTTCCATCTTCAGAGTCCTGCATTGTAAAAAGAGGAAAAAGAACACAAAGCTTCCTGAAATATTTGTTATTGAGATGATTGAGGAAAAGAAATAAAATTTTACAAAATCTCAAACATGTACAAGTATTTTCAGTTAATTGAAATTTTTTCAGCAAAACTTTTAGGAAACCAAATTCTCAAAACGTATGCTTACATAAACAAGGGCATAGGTACATATAATATATATGTATATGTGTGCATGTGTGTGTGTATGTATGAAGGAGAAACAGAAAGAGAGAGAAAGAAATTCATGAGACTCCAAGGTGGCAGAAGGGAACAATGTGCTGTGCTAGGATAGGGATCAATAGCAAAACAAACAAACAAAAAATAGCGTAGGAAGTGTGCTGTAATGGGAGAATCAGAGAACACAAAAATGGAGTTTCTACAGAGGGAAGAGGAATGCCATGGGCCTATGTGGAAGCTGCAGGCACACAGCATGAAAATGGACACAACACACTAAGCAGCCAAGAGTCAGAGTGGGGTAGCAGCTTAGAGATGGAGGTGAGACCAAACTGCGATAACCTGTATTGATATAGCCAGAAGACGAGCATGGTGTGAGTCTGGCCTGGAGACCTAAGGTACTTGCAGACCCAGCAGAAGTAAAAGGGGCACATTTATCTTATCCCATCTTCTCTACAAAAGTGGTCAGCACCCAGCTGGAAAAGGGAAGTGACATTTTGGGCTCCAGCCGAAGCCATGGAAGCCTTTGTGTGTATGTATATCAACTGGCTGTGACAGGATACCACTTAAAATTGATCAAAGAACTAAATCTACAACTCAATACAATCAACTCATTAATGAACATTAGAGAAACTCTGCAAGACATTGGGATATGCAAGACTTCTTGGAAAAGACCTCACAGCACAGCCAATCAAAGCCAAAATTGACAAATGGGATTCCATCAAGAAGCTTATACAATGCAAAAGAAACACTCGGCAAAGTGAAGAGGCAACCAACAGAATGTGAGAAGATATTTGCAAACTACACAACTAATAAAGGGTTAATATCCAGAATCTATAAAGAGCTCAAGAAATTTAAAACAAAATAAAACAAACAATCCATTTAAGAAATGGGCCAAAGACTTTGATAGGCATTTTTCAACAGAGGAAATTCACATGGCCAATAAACACTTGAGAAAATGCTCAGGATCACTAGCCATCGAGGAAATGCAAATCAAAACCACAATAAGGTTTAGCCTCACTCCAGTTAGAATGGCCATGAAACAGAAATTAACAAATGAAAAAAGCTGGTGAGGATGTGGGGAAAAAGATATCTTGGTCCACCATTGGTGGGAATGTAAACTGGTTGTAACCACTGTGAAAGACAGCATGGAGATACCTCAGAAATCTGGAGACCAAGACCTAGTGAATGAGTGGAGCTCATGAACTGGGACTGTGAAAAAAGGAAAAAAAAAATGAGAGTGTGTGAGAGAACTCACAGTGTGGCTGAGATGTGAGTACTCTCAGTGGGAGACGCCACAAACTCGAGCGGCCTTGGCTACTCAGTGAGAGACACTGCAGGAGGATCTGAGCTTACACTGAGGACTGCAGAGATCCTTTGTGTGATCCTTGGTACAGAGCAGACGAATATTATTCCCATTGGGGCTAGTGCTCAGGCACTGATCGCCATCGAGAAGAAGAGCTCAGCTGAGTGGAATTACTTCCCTTCTGATTAAAAACAGAGAGAGAGAGAGAGAGAGAGAGAGATTGATTTATCACACCCAACCTGGGTTTGTCACCTTAAGCACACCCTTAACCCTGAAGAACTGAAGAGAAGAGCTCTCTGGCCAAACCCACCACAAGACTCTAGAGAGTCACTGAAAGCAGACAGTCCCCTTTTTATCTTAAGAGTCATAATAAAATGAAAAAAGTAGCCACAGTGGAAAAAAAAAAAAGAAAATAACAAGTATCTCCACAAATGGCAAACAACAAATGCAACAACTGAGGGGACAAGAACAAGGAAGACAACATGACGCTCCCAAAAGAACATGATAATTAATACAAGATTATGAAGACAATGAGATAGAAGAAATGAAAGAAATAGAACTCAAAAAAATTTATGATAAGAATATATAGAAGTAATCAAAAACAAATGCATGAGGGCCTGCACCGTGGCTCACTTGGTTAATCCTCTGCCTGTGGTGCCAGCATCACATAAGGGTGCTGGCTTCTAGTCTCTGTTGCTCCTCTTCCATGCCAACTCTCTGCTGTGGCCCTGGAAAGCAGTGGAGGATGGCCCAAGTGCTTAGGTGCCTGCACCTGTGTCGGAGACCAGGAAGAAGTACCTGGCTCCTGACTTCAGATCTGTGTAGCTCTGTTCACGGCAGACATTTGGGGGGTGAACCAATGGAAGGAAGACCTTTCTCTCTGTATCTCTCACTGTCTCATTCTATCTGTCAAATAAATAAATAAATAAAAAGAATCATTAAAAAAACACAAATGCATGAAATACTGAAATCCATGCGGGACATGAAAGAAAATCTCTCTTATGAAAATGAAATCTTAAGGAGGAATCAAAATGGAATGAGGAATTCAATAGAACAAATAAAAAACACAGTTGAGAACCTTAAAAACAGAATCAGTGTGGCAGAAGAGAGAATATCGGACTTAGAAGACAGAGCACAGGAAAGCATACAGTCAAACCAAAGAAAAGAAGAGGAAATTAGAAATCTAAAAAATATGGTTGGGAATCTACAGGATACTATTAAAAAACCCAACATTCAGGTTTTAGACGTTCTGAAGGCATGGAGAGAGAGAAAGGAGTAGAAGGCCTTTTAGAGAGATACAAGCAGAAAAATTCCCGTCTTTGGAGAAATAAAAAGACATCCAAGTACAGGGAGCACACAGAACTCCCATTAAACATGACCAGAAGAGATCCTCGCCATGACACATTGTAATCAAACTCACCACAATGAAACATAAAGAAAAGATTCTAAAATGTACAAGAGAGAAATTACTCTCAGAGGATCTCCAATGAGACTCACAGCAGACTTATCAAACCCTACAGGACAGGAGGGAATGGTGAGACATAGCCCAAGTACTAAGAGAAAAAAACTGCCAGAATATTATATCCTGCAAAGCTCTCATTTGTGAATGAAGGTGAAATAAAGACCTTTCATAGCAAACAGAAATTGAAAGAATTTGTCACCACTCATCCAGCCCTGCAAAAGATGCTTAAAGATGTGTTACACACAGAAACATGGTCATCACATGAAAGAAGGTAAAGGAAGAAAATCTCTCAGTAAAAGATCACAAGTTCAAAGCATATATTAGAAATACATTTGGAAAAGTGGCAGGGAAAAGTCACTACTTATCAATAGTCGCATTGGATATAAATGGCCTCAACTCTCCAGTTAAAAGACACAGACTGGATGAATGGATTAAGGAACAAAACCCATCTATTTTTTGCCTACAAGAAATACATCTTTCCTAGAAAAGTGCATGCAGACTGAAAGTCAAAGGGTGGAAAAAGATATTCCACGCCAACAGAAACCAAAAAAGAGCTGGTATGGCCATATTAATATCAGAAAAAATAAATTGTAACACTAACACTGTTAAGAGAGACAAAGAAGGGCACTATATAATGATTAAAGGATCAATTCAACAGGAAGATGTAACTATTATAAACCTGTATGGACATAATAATAGGGCACCGGTTATTTAAAAGATATGCTAAGGACCTTAAAGGGAGACTTAGACTCCAATACAATATCATTGGGGGACTTCAATACTCCACTTTCAGCTAAGGACAGATCAACTAAACAGAAAATCAGCAAGGAAACAGCAGATTTAATTGACACTATAGCCTAAATGGATCTAACAGATATCTACACTTGAAGAATACACATTCTTCTCAGCAGTACATGGAACCTACTCTAGGATTGACTAGGCCATAAAGCAAGTCTCAGCTAATTCCAAAGAATCGAAATCATACCATGCAGTTTTCTTAGAGGACAATGGAATGAAGCTGGAACTTAGCAACTCAGGAATCCTTAGAGCATATGCAAACACATGGAGACCGAACAATATGCTCCTGAATGAAGAACAGGTCACAGAAGAAATCAAAAGAGAAATCAAAAACTTTCTGGAAGCAAATGAAGATAACAACACAACATATCAAAACTTACGGGATACAGCAAAAGCAGTGTTAAGAGGAAAGTTTATAGCAATAGGTGCCTATATCAAAAAACTGGAAAGGCACCAAATAAATGAGCTATCAATGCATCTCAAGGATCTAGAAAAGCTGCAGCAAACCAGACGCAAAACTAGTGGGAGAAGAGAAATAATTACAATTACAGAAGAAATCAACAGAATTGAGTATGAAAAAAAAACATTACAAAAGATCAGCCAAATGAAGAGTGAGTTTTTTGAAAAAATAAACAGTTGACACTCCATGGACACAACTAATTAAAAAAAAGGAGAGAGAAGTACCAAATAAATAAAATCAAATATGAAAAAGGGACTGTAACAACAAACACCAGAAATTACTACAAAGAGTTGTATGCCAGCAAACAGGGAAATCTATCAGATATGTTAGATTACTGGACAAATACAACATACCTAAATTGAACTATGAAGACAACCTAAACAGACCCACAATTGAGACAGAAATTGAATCAGTAATAAAGGCCATCCTGGCCTGCGCCGCAGCTCATTTGGCTAGTCCTCTGCCTGCAGCGCCTGCACCCCAGGTTCTAGTCCAGGTTGGGGCACCGGATTCTGTCCCAGTTGCTTCTCTTCCAGTCCAGCTCTCCTCTAGCCCTGGAAGGCAGTGGAGCACAGCCCAAGTGCATGGGCCATGTACCCATATGGGAGATGAAGAGGAAGCACCAGGCTCCTGTCTTCGATCAAGCAGTGAGCCAGCCGCAGTGACCAGCCGTAGCTGCCATTTCAGGGGTGAACCAATGGAAAGAAGACCTTTCTTTCTGTCTCTCTCTCTCTCACTGTCTAACTCTGCCTGCTAAAAAAAAATAATTTTAAAGGTACCTCTCAACAAAGAAAAGCCCAGGACCAGAGGCTTCAATGCTGAATTCTGCCAGACATTTAAAGGAGAACTAATTCCAATTCTTCTCTAACTATTCAGAACAACTGAAAGAGAGGGAATCCTCCAAAATGCTTTTTATGAGCATCACCTTAACCTAAACTTGAAAAGGATGCAGCAGAGAAGGATAATTACAGACCAATTTCCCTGATGAACATAGACGCAAAATCCTCAATAAAATTCTGACCAATACAATGCAACAACACATCAGAAAGATCATCCACCCAGACCAAGTGGGATTTATCCCTGGTATGCAGGGATGGTTCAATGTTTGCAAATCAATCAATGTGATACACCACATTAACAGACTGCAGAAGAAAAACAATATGATTATTTCAATAGATGCAGAGAAAGCATCTGAGAAAATTCAACACCCTTTCATGATGAAAACTCTAAGCAAACTGGGTATAGAAGGAACAATCCTCAATGCAATCAATGCAATTTATGAAAAAATCATGGCCAGCATACTATTGAATGGGGAAAAGTTGGAAGCTTTCCACTGAGATCTGGTACCAGACAGGGATGCCCACTCTCACCACTGCTATTCAATATAGTTCTGGAAGTTTTAGCCAGCGCCATTAGGCAAGAAAAAGAAATTAAAGGGATACAAGTTGGAAAGGAAGAATTCAAACTATGCTTCTTTACCGATGATATGATCCTTTAGGGGATCCAAAGTACGCTGAAGCAAGACCCCTACCTTACACCTTACACAAAAATACACTCAACATGGATTAAAGAGCTAATTCTACGATCCGATACTCATCAAATTATTAGAGAACATTGAGAAACCCTACAAGATAAAGGCACAGGAAAAGACTTCTTGGAAAAGACCCCAGAGGCACAGGCTGTCAAAGCCAGAATTAACAACTGGGATTACATCAAATTGAGAAGTTTCTGTACCGCAAAAGAAATAGTCAGCAATGTGAAAAGGCAATGGACAGAGTGGGAAAAAATATGTGCAAACTATGCAACTGATAAAGGATTAATAACAGAATCTAAAAAGAGATCAAGAAACTCCACAACAAAAAAAAACTAACAATCCACTTAAGAGATTGGACCAGGACCTAAATAGACATTTCTTTTTTATATAAATTTATTTATTTTTTATTTGAGAGTGAGAGTTACACAGAGAGAGGAGAGGCAGAGAGAGAGAGAGGAATTCCTTCCGATTGTTTACTCCCAAATTGGCTGGAAGAGGCAACAGCCAGAACTGCGCTAGACATTTTTCAAAAGAGGAAATCCAAATGTCCAACAGACACATAAAAAATATTCAGGATCACTAGCAATCAGGGAAATGCAAATCAAAACCACAAGTTCACCTCACCCCAGTTAGAATGGCTTAAATATAGAAATCAAGAAACAACAGGTGCTGGCGAGGATGTGGGGAAAAAGGGACACTAACCCACTGTTGGTGGGAATGCAAACTGGTAAAGCCACTATGTGAGTCAGTTTGGAGATTTCTCAGAAACCTGAATATAGCCCTTCCACATGATCCAGCCATCCCACTCCTTGGAATTTACCCAAAGGAAATTAAATTGGCAAATAAAAGAGCTGTCTTCACCTCAATGTTTATTGTAACTCAATTCACAATAGCTAAGACCTGGAATCAACCTAAATGCCCATCAACAGAAGACTAGATAAAGAAATTATGGATATGTGCTCTATAGAATACTAAAGAGCACTAAAAAAATGAAATCCAGTCATTTGCAACAAGATGGTGGAATTTGGAAAACATCATGCTGAGTGAATTAAGCCAGTCCCAAAGGGACATATATCATAGGTTCTCCCTGATCTGTGACAACTAACTGAGCACCTAAAAGGAAACCTGTAGAAGGGAAATGGACACTATGAGAAACAATGACTTGATCAGCCCTTGTCCTAACTGTCGAGGAACAACTTAATACTCTATCCCTTTTAGTATGTTTTTCTAATTAATATTATTGGTTGAACTCTTTGATTAACACATAATTATTCTTAGGTGTTTAAATTTAACTGAAAAGTGGCCCCTGTTAAATATAAGAGTGGGACTGAGAGAGGGACGACCAGTACAGTTCGGCACATGCTCTCTCAGACTTACTCCTAATGGTAGAGCTAGAAACATGCCAGGGGATTCCAACTCAATCCCATCAAGCTGGCATGTACCAATGCCATCTCACTAGTCAAAGTAATCAGTTTAAGTTCATAATTGATCATAATGATAGGATTAAGTGTCAAAGGATCACATAAACAAGACCAGTGTCTGCGAATACTGATAGAATTAAAAAGGAGAAAACGATTTAACGTGGGAAGCAGGCTACACAGCAGAATCATAGAATGAAAGGTGTCCTAAACAGCATTCTGGCCTCAGAATCAGCCCTTAAGGCATTTGGATCTGGCTAAGAAACCCATCAGAGTTTCTCAGGCATGGAAAGGCAAGACACTCTGGCAAAAAAAAAAAAAAAAAAAAAAAAAAAAAAAAAAAAAAAAAAACAACAACACCACCCTAAATGAAAGATCTCTGTGAGTGAGATCCCACTTGCCACTTATGTGGAAGACTTGGACTGTGTTGATATAGCCAGAGGAAGACCATGGTGTGAGTCTGGCCTGGATTGTGGTCTGGATTATCTGGCTTCATTGCGGATAAGAGTGCTCTATCTCAAACAATATTTAAATAAATAAAAATTTTACAAAATAAGATTCAGGTATAAATATATATTGAAACTTACCCTCTTGTCTTCAATTTCCAATTCAAGACCTGATTTTCGGAGATTTTGCTCAAATTCTTTTCTTCTTTCCTTTAGCAAAACAAACAGAATTATGCAGAATACTTTTATTCTTATTTGTTCAATGAGAGACTTGGTACACGATGGCCAAACTTCTAAGTGTTCTGTGTCCCACCCCAGTTATTTTAAAAAGGCCTCCTGTGTATTACGTCAAACTTAATGTCATGTACTGTTTTCCATCTGTACAATAATTCCCAATAATCATAAAAATCCAATATATCCTATAATCTCTGGGAAATATGCAGCAGAACTTTTAATGGAAGACATATAAAAACTTTACTGAATAAAATACTGCTTTTTAAATAAAAGCTTTACAATAAGACAAATATATCATGCTGTTATTTGGGATGACTCAGTATTACAAAGTTCAATACTCTGCAAATAAATTATATATTTAATTCAACTTTAAGCCAAAATGTCAATATGACTTTTTAATCTTGAAGGATAGAATGGCTTCACACAGAGAAAAATCAAATTAAACTATAGGTCATTAGTTCACATAATCAAATTATGTAGACTTAAAAACAATTCACTGATCATCAATATTTTTGCTTGAACTGTGAGTAAAGTATAACAAAATACACACTAAAATTTTAAAATACTTAATTACAGTATCTTCAAACACTAATCTTCAAATAGGCATGTCTTGAGTATGTATAATATGTTTTTTAAAAAGCTAGGAGAGAGGATTTGAATGTTTTCACCAAAATGAGGGTAGATATTGAACACTGTACAATATAGGCCTGTATCAGGGCCTGCGCTGTGACACAGCAGGTTAAAGCCCTGGCCTGCAGCAATGGCATCCCATCGGGGTGCCGGTTCTTGTCCCAGCTGCTCCTCTTCTGATCCAGCTCTCTGCTATGGCCTGGGAAAGAAATAGAAGCTACCCAAGTCCAAATGACATAAAGAGAAGATTCTAAAATGTGCATGAGAGAAATGCCAGATTACTTTCAGGGGATCTCCAATTAGACTCACAGCAGACTTCTCATCAGAAACCCTACAGGCTAGGAGAGAGTGGTAAGATATAGTCCAAGATTAACAGAAAAAAAAAAACTGTCATCCCAGAATATTATACCCTGCAAAGCTCTCATTTATGAATGAATGTGAAATAAAGAATTTCCATAACAAATAGAAATTGAGGGGACAGCTCTGTGGTGTAGCAGCCGCCTGCAGTGCTGGCATCCCGGACATTGTTTCCAGACCCAGTTGCTCCACTTCTGATCCAGCTCTCTGCTATGCCTGGGAAAGCAGCAGAAGATGGCCCAAGTGCTTGGGCCCCTGCACCCACATGGGAGACCTGGAAGAAGCTCCTGGCTCCTGGCCTCGGATCATCACAGTTCCGCCTGTTGTGGCCAATTGGAAATGAACAAGCTGATGGTAGACCTCTCTCTGTCTCTCCTATCTCTGTGTTACTCTGGTTTTCAAATAAATCAATAAATCTTTTAAAACAAAAAATGAAATGGAAAGAATTTGTCATCACCCATCTAGCCCTACAAAAGATGCTTACTGATGTGCTGCACACAGAAACATGGTCATCACTACAAAAGAAGGTAAGGAATAAAATCTCTCAGTAAAAGATCAAAGGAAGTTCAAAGTAAAAATTAGGAATATTTTTGGAAAAATAGCAGGGCAAAGTCATTACTTATCAATACTCCCCTTGATTGTAAACGGCCTCAACTCCATAGTCAAAAGACTAGACTTGCCAGCACCGCAATTCACTAGGCTAATCCTCCGCCTGCGGCGCCAGCACACCGGGTTCTAGTCCCAGTCGGGGTGCTGGATCTGTCCCTGTTGCTCCTCTTCCAGTTCAGCTCTCTGCTGTGGCCCGGGAGTACAGTGGAGGATGGCCCAAGGGCTTGGGTCCCTGCACCCACATGGAAGACCAGGAGGAGCACCTGGCTCCTGGCTTCAAATCGGCACAACGTGCAGCCATAGCGGCCATTTGGGGGTGAACCAAAGGAAAAGGAAGACCTTTCTCTCTGTCTCTCTCTCTCACTGTCTAACTCTGTCTTTCAAATAATAATAATAATAATAAATTTTAAAAAAGACCAGACTGGCTGACTGGATTAAAAAATAAAACCCATGTATTTTCTGCCTATAAGAAACATATCTCACCAACAAAGATATATGCAGACTGAAAGTGAAAGGATGAAAGAAGATATTCCTTGCCAAAAGAAACCAAAAAAGAGCTGGTATAGCCATCTTAATATCAGAAAATATTAACTTTAACAGAAAAACTGCTAAAAGAGTCAAAGAAGGGTACTATATAATGTTTAAGGGATCAAATCAACAGGGAGATGTAACTATTATAAACGTGTATGCACCTAATTACAGGGAACCTGGCCAATTAAAAGAAATATTAAGAGATTTAAAGGGAGACTTATACTCAAATACAATAGTATTGGAGGACTGCAAAGCTCCACTTTCAGCAATGGACAGATCAACCAGATGGAAAATCAACAAGAACACAGCAGAATTAATCTAACTATAGACCAAATGGAACTAACAGATAACTACAGAACTTTTCACCCTACAATTCCAGAATACACATTCTTCTCAGCAGTGCATGGATCTTTCTCTAGGATTGACCATATACTAGGCCATAAGCAAGTTTCAGCAAATTCAAAAACTGAATCATACCATGAATCTTATTGGACCACAATGGAATGAGGTTGGAAATCAGGAAGTCAGGAATTTCTAGAGCATATGCAAATGCATGGAGACTGAAAAACATGCTCCTGAATGAGAAGTGGGTCATAGAAGACATAAAAAAAATAAAAAAATTTCTGGAAACGAATGCAGATGACAACAAAACATATCAAAACTTCCATGATACAGCAAAAGCAGTGAAAAGAAGAATGTTTATAGCAATAGGTGTCAACAGCAAGAAATGGAGGTCAGTGCTGTTGCTCAGTCAGTTAAAGTCCTGGCCTGAAGCGCCAACATCCCATATGGATGCCAGTTCAAGACCCAACTGCTCATCTTCTGATACAACTCTCTGCTATGGCCTGGAAAAGCAGTGGAGGATGGCCCAAATACTTGGGCCCCTGTACCCACATGGGAGACCTGGAAGAAGCTCCTGGCTCCTGGTTTTGGATCAGTGCAGCTCTGGCAGTTGCTGCCATCTGAGGATTGAACCAGCGGATAGAAGACCTCTCTCCTGTCTCTACCTCTCTGAAACTTTTCAATTAAATAATATAAATCTTTAAAAAAAATTGCAAAAGCACCAAATAAATGAGCTATTGATGCATCTCAAGGATCTAGAAAAACAAGAATAAACCAAGGCCAAAACTACTAGGAGAAAAGAAATAATTAAAATTAGAGAAGAAATCAACAAAATTGAATCCAAAAAAAAAAAACATAACAAAAGAGCAGCAAAAGGAAGAGCTGGTTTTTTGAAAAATAAACAAAAGTGACACACCAGTGGCCTAATTAACCAAAAAGACGACAGAGAAGAACAAAATCAGTAAAATTAGAGATTAAAAAGGAAATGTAACAATAGACACCAAAGAAATAAAAAGAATCATCAAAAATTATTACAAAGAGCTATATGCCAAGAAGAAATAGATTCATGGACACATACAATCTACCTAAATTGAGCCATAAAGACATAGAAAACCTAAATAGACCCATAACACAGGCAAACAAAGAAAGCCCAGGACTGGATGGCTTCAATGCTGAATTCTACCAGACATTTAAGAAGAACAAATTCCAATTCCTCTCAAGTTATTCAGAACAACTGAAAGAGAGGGAATCCTCCCAAATTCTTTCTACAAGCCAACATCACCTTCATTCATAAACCTGAAAAAGACGCAACCGAGAAAGAGAATTACAAACCAATTTCCCTGATAAACGTAGACACAAAAATCCTCAACAAAATTCTAGCCAATCAAATCCAACAACACATGAAAAGATCACCCACCCAGACCAAATGGGATTTATCCCTGGTATGCGGGGATGATTCAACATTCGCAAATCAATCAATGTGATACACCACATTAACAAACTGCTGAAAAAGAAAAACCCCACATGATTATCTCAACAGATGCAGAGTAAGCATTTGACAAAATACAATTTCCTTTCATGATGAAAACTCTAAGCAAATTGGGTATAGAAATAACATTCCTCAATACAATCAAAGCAATTTATGAAAAACCTGTGGGGAGCAATCCGGACTGGACTAAGTTACTGGAATTAAGACTTATTCTATGCATCTGCTCTCCCACAATATGGCGCTGGGAGAGAAGTAAACAGCTTCTGCACAGCTGCCTCCAGTTCAATCAATAAACTGTAGGACTTGCTCCTGATTGGAGAGCAGCGTACTCGGCGTGTGGGCAGCTGAGTTAGGATTGGCGGAGGAGGACTATAAAGGAGGAGAGAGACGGCATGCACCAGGAACATCTATGAGGAACATCTAAGGGGAACATCTGAGGGAACACCTGTGCAGCCCCCCGAGAAAGCCGGCTGGCGGTGTGCCGCTCCCCTGCGGAAGTGGGGAATGTGGCCAGGGGGAACTGCCCTTCCACAGAGGTGGAAGGGATAGTAGCCAACCCGGGAAGAACCAGCAGCAAACCCGGGGAGGGCCGAGCAGACGAAAGAACAGCGCAGGGTCCTGTGTCATTCCTCCATGAAGAGGGGGAGTGACAAAACCCACAGCCAACATTCTATTAAATGGGAAACGTTGGAAGCATTCCCAGTGAGATCTGGTACCAGACAGGGATGGCAACTCTCACTACTGCTATTCAATATAGTACTAGAAGTTTTTTTGCCAGATCCATTAGGCAAGAAAATGAAATCAAAGGGATGCAAATTGGGAAGAAGGAAGTCAAACTATCCCTCTTTGCATAAGACATGATTCTTTATATAGAGGATACAAAAACTCCACTAAGAGGCTATTGGAACTCATAGAAGAGTTTAGTAAAGTAGCACGATATAAAATCAGTATACAAAAATCAACAGCCTTTGTATACACAGACAATGCCACAGCTGAGAATGAACTTCAAGATTAATCACATTCACAATAGTTACAAAAACCATCAAATACTTTGGAATAAACTTACCCAATGAAGTTAAAGATCTCTACAATGAGAATTACAAAACCTTAAAGAAATAGAAGAAGACACAAAAAGAACAATGGAAAATTCTTCCATGTTCATGGATTGGAGGAATGAATATCATCAAAATGTCCAATCTCCCAAAAGCAAGGTACAGATTCAATGTGATATCAATCAAAACACCAAAGACATTCTTCTCAGATTTAGAAAAAATGGTGCTGAAATTCATATGGAGACACAGGAGACCTCGAATAGCTAAAGCAATTTTACACAACAAATCAAAGCCGGAAGCATCACAATACCAGATTTTAAGACATACTACAGGGCAGTTATAATCAAAACAGCCTGGGACTTGTACAAAAACAGATGGATAAACCAATGGAACAGAGCAGAAATCAATCCAACATCTACAGCCAACTTATAATATTTGATCAAGGAGCTAAAACCAATTCCTGGAATAAGGACAGTCTATTCTACAAAATGGTGCTGGGAAAACTAGATTCCCACATGCAGAAGAATGAAGCAAGACCCCTACCTTACACCTTACACAAATATTCACTCAACATGGATTAAAGATCTAAGCCTACGTCCTAACACCATCAAATTATTAGAGAACATTGGAGAATTCCTGCAAGATATTGGCACAAAGACTTCTTGGAAAAGACCCGAGAGGCACAGGCAGCCAAAGCCAAAATTAACAACTAGGATTACATCAAATTGAGAAGTTTCTGAAAGGCAAAAGGAACAGTCAGGAAAGTGAAGAGGCAAACGACAGAATGGGAGAAATTATTCACAAACTATGCAACTGATAAAGATTAATATTCAGAATCTAAAAAGAGATCAAAAACTCCACAACAACAAAAACAAACAACCCACTTAAGAGAAGGGCCAAGGACTTAGACAGACATTTTTCTTTTTTTTTTAAGAATTATTTATTTATTCAAAAGTCAGGGATATACAGAGAGAAGAGAGGCAGAGAGGCAGATAGAGAGTGATCTTCCATCCAATGGTTTACTCTCCAGATGGCCGCAATGCCCAGAGCGGCACTGATCTGAAGCCAGGAGCCAGCAGCTTCTTTCGGGTCTCCCACATGGGTGCAGGGGCCCAAGGACTTGGGCCATCTTCTACTGCTATCCTAGGCCACAGCAGAGAGCTGCATTGGAAGAGGAGCAGCCGGGACTAGAACACGCACCCATATGGGATGGCCAGCACTTCAGGCCGGGGTGTTTACCTGCTCTGCCACAGTGCCGGCCCCATTAAACAGACATTTTTCAAAGAGGAAATCCAAATGGCCAACAGACACATGCAAAAATGTTCAGGATCACTAACCATCAGGGAAATGCAAATCAAAACCACAATGAGTTTTCACCTCACCCAGCTAGAATGGCTTTCACACAGAAATCACAAACAACAAATGCTGGTGAGGATGTAGGGAAAAAGGTACCCTAATCCACTGTTGGGTGGGAATGAAACTGGTAAAGCTAGCATGGAAGACAATTTGGAGGTATGTCAGAAATCTGAATATAGTCCTACCATAGGACCCAGCCATCCCACCCTTTGTAATTTTCCCAAGGAAATAAAATCGGCAAATAAAAGAGCTATCTGCAGCTCCATGTTTATTGCAGCTCAATTCACGATAGCTAAAACATGGAATCAACCTAAATGCCAGTCAACAGAAGACTGGATAAAGAAATTATGGGATATGTATAATGGAATACTACATAGTGGTAACAAAAAAAATGAATCCGGACATTGGCAACAAAATTGATGAATCTGAAAAAATCATAACTTAGTGAAATAAACCAGTCCCAAACAGACAAATATCATATGTTCCCCCTGATCTGTGACAACTAGTAGAGCACCTAAAGGAAACATCTAGGAGTGAAATTTACACTATGCGGAACAAATATTTGAATAGCCCTTGTCTTGAGTTTAGAGGATCAGGTTTATTATTTTAGTTTTTTTACTCTTTTCTTTTTCTACTTAATACCATTGGTTGAACACTTACTTAACACAGAATTACTCATAAGTCTTTAAATCCAATTTGAAAATTGATCACAGTAAAAAATAAGAGCCCAAATAGAGAGGGAGGAGAATGTACAGTTCGGCAGACGTTCCCTCGGACTTACCCCTAAGGGTAAAGCTAAAATTTTGCCATGGGACTCCTAATTCCATTAAAGTGGGTGCTAATGCCATCTTACTAGTTAAAGCGATCATTTTAAGCGTGTAACATATATATAGGAATAAGTGTCAAAAAATCACATAAATAAGACCAAGTGTCTGCTAATAACAACAGGTGGAATTAAAAAGGAGAGAACGATGCAACATGGGAAGCAGGCCACACAGCAGACTCAGAGAATGACAAACACCCTAAACATCACTCTGGCCTCAGAATCAGCCCTTAAGGCATTCAGATCTGGCTAAAAAGCCATGAAAGCATTTCAGGCATGGAAAGCCAATACACTCTGGCAAAGAATGATCTACATGAAGGATCTCTATGAGTGAGATCCCAGTGGAAAGAAGGGTCCGTCAAAGAAGAGGTACCTTTCTCCAAAGGGAGGATAGAACTTCCATTTGATTATGGCCCTGTCTAAATACTGATGGAGTTTGTGGACTCAAGAGGCTTCCATAGCCTTGGCGGCTCATAAGAGCATCAGGTGATCACTGACATCATGAATAAGAGTTTCAATTGTTAAATCAACAAGAGTCACCGTGCACTTGCTCCCCATGTAGGACCTCTGTCCTTAATGAGCTGTTCTATGATAATTAACAGTAAAACTTGTCTTCAAACAGTATTTATACTTTGTGTGTCTGTGTCTGTTGAAATCTTTACTTAGTAAAGAGTTGGTCTTCTGTATAAAAAGATAATTAAACATGAATCTTAATGAAGAATGGAATGGGAGATGGAGCAGAAGGTGGGATGGGAGTGGAAGTGTGAGGGTGGGTATGGGGAAGAATTCCTAAAGCTGTACCTATGAAATTAATATTTATTAAGTAAAGCTTTCTAAAAAATAAATAAAAGTGAACAAAGAATATCAGCTTTGAAAGTGTCAATTGCCATAATGAAAATAAAATAGGATCATAATTACAATATAATACAAAGTCCACTGCAGATTGGATAAATTCATCCTACAATTTCAAAATAGTATTTTCACTGAAAAGATTTTTATTATTTTCAAAAACTCCCGCAATTTGGTGGCCACACTTAATATCTAATGTGAGCTGTCTAAAATACCTCAGCTTCTTGGAGGAGAAGTAAAAGGACTTTGTCTCTAAAACATCCAGTAAATTTAATTGGCATCACACATTCATTACTCGGCTGCCTATTTTGTAGTCTTTTCACTCAGTTTCAGCTTTCAATAACACTTCGGAAGTCTCTGACTTTTTACAACGTAATTCAATGTGAATATCCACATCAAAATATAGAATATACTTCTTTTTGTTATTCTTGTGTTTCTCACATAGGCACTTACCGCTTTTATTTCTGCATCTTCCCTTAAGTCATCAAGCATAGGAAAGTACAAAATCAATTTGCCTAATCCCATCTCGGAAGAAGATAGAATCTTTGCTTTGCTCATTTTTTTTGAAACTGTAGGAGACATAAATGGCACAATTTTAAATTCTATTTTTATTCTCAAGTGGCAAAAAACATGGAAATGATTACCTAATATTTGTTTTCTTAAAGATTTATTTCATTTCTTTAAAAAGCAGACTGACAGAGAGAGTGAGCAAGAGGGAGAGAGACACAGAGAGAAAAGATCTTCTCTCTACTGCTTTACTCCCTAAATGGTTGCAACAGCCCAGGCTGGGTCAGGTCAAATCCAAGAGCCTGGAACTCCATTTAGATTTTCCACGTGGGTGGTAGAGATCCAAGTATTTGGACCACCTTCTTGCTGCCTTCCAGGATCTTTAGCAAGAAGCTGGATCAGAAGTGAAACAGCCAGGATTCATTGCTCCAATAGGGAATTACAGCATTGTGAACAGTGGCTTAAACTGCTGTTCCACAATGCAGGCTCGATTATCTGAAATTTGGTCACCAATAAAACAAAATAAACATGCAGTTAAAGATAGAAAGCTGGGAGCCTGCTAGTTGGTCTTATAGCAAGTAAATACTCATGCAAATTAATCTTTAACACTGATTTCTCATGTGAAACAAAATCAATCCTGTGTTTAAATCTATACAAATTCGCTTGCTTTAATAACTAAACTTAAAACTTTAAATTTCATATGCTGTGTTGCCTGTTAATTATTTCTCTTTCAAAATAGCAAAAACACTAGAGAACTCCTAAAAGAATTTTATGTGTGGCTGATTTGGCTTTTCACAGTTAATATAAAATATGTAATACTTAATATTATTATATTATATTATATTAATATATTATATAATATAATATATATAATATATTATAATATAATTATATGTTATATAATTATATAATATTAATTATATATTAATTATATTAATTAATTGATTAATATTAATTATATATAATTAATAATATATTATAATAAGATATATAATTATATATAATATAATTATATTATATAATAAATATATTTATAAAATTATATGATATAATAAAATATTATATAATAATATTTTATTATATTATATATTGTATAATATATATTATATTATAATATAATATATTATATATATTATATATAATAGCCTAAGTGTGGCACATAGAATTACAGAAATAGATGATTTATTGGATGTCAATGAGGCACCTTTCCAATTGCTTTAGCTAACCCATGAATAGGAAGTTCGATGATTTTAATCTTCACAACTGGTATTTCTTTTCTTCTTCTTCTTCTTCTTCTTTTTTTTTTTTTGACAGGCAGAGTGGACAGTGAGAGAGACAGAGAGAAAGGTCTTCCTTTTCCGTTGGTTCACTCCCCAACGGCCACTGCGGCTGGCATGCTGCAGCGGGCACACCGCACTGATCCAAAGCCAGGAGCCAGGTGCTCCTCCTGGTCTCCTATGTGGGTGCAGGGCCCAAGGACTTAGGCCATCCTCTAATGCACTCCTGGGCCACAGCAGAGAGCTGGACTGGAAGAGGAGCAACCAGGCACAACTGGTATTTCTAATAGTTTATGTCTGTAAGTATTGTTTATAGTATTCTATACCATTTTTCACCTAAGTCAGGCCAGATGGATCTCCCATAAAAGACAGCGGATGTAAGTCAGTCAGGTATGAATAAGTTAGGAAGCTCATGTTCAATTTGTGGTCATGTTCAATTTGTGGTATTTTATATCTATGTAACAGCTATTATTACATATAAGTTTGATTGAAAATCACTTTGGAAAAGAAAAGGAAACAAAGCAAAACCAACAAAACCATTCATTCTTGTAAGTCATCATAGTATTAGCTTATCTTATGAAATTCATCAATTTGTGGAAGCCAATTAGAACAAATGGTTCTAATTTGACTATATTTACTCAAAATACAAAATCAGAAGGAAAAAGCAATAGTTCTCTTGCCCTATGTCTGTAGCAGCCATATTGTGTGCATGTATGTAAGAATTTTGACATCTACCATATTTATAAGTGATCATATTATACAAACAAGCTCAACTGTGATCCAGAAGGGTGGTACTATTGATTGAAGATGTGCAAAGGGGACAAAATTTACACTCCATTTTTGACAAAGACTCAACAAAATACCTAAGAGAATAGGGATTCTAATTCTTTTCCTGAGTGTACAATAATAATGAGTATATTTATTTTGTTCCTTAGAACCAGGATGACTTAGGATGACCCAAACTTCTATCATTATGTGGTATTTTAAGCTTAAGCTGTGAATTTTTTTCTTAATATAAAGAAAAAGAAACATCAGTAACCTTGTAAATCACCATGAGGTACATGTCTTAAGACAGTTAAAAACCAGTTAACTGGGGCAGAAAGATCTTAATTCTGTTATATATAACTGAATGTTATTAAAACACATTGTGCTTTTTTTGGGCTCCAAACATGCCATTTATATCTTTAGATCATATTTTATAGTATGAGTATTTGTGCTCATATTTAACTTGTGCTTAGAAATGCCTATTTATAAAGGAACAAACATCTGAGTGGCTTCTCTGAATGATGTAGTTATTCTTAGATACATAAATCTATATTCCTGGTGGCTTGATAAACCTCTGAAGCTATATAGATTGTGCATGTGTGCGTGTGTGTGTGTGTGTGTGTGTATGTACATTTTTAGAAAGACGGTATAGATTCCATCAGATCTAAAAAAGATTAAGAATCATTATTCTGAAACTTCAATTCCCTGGGAACTAGGTATCAGTGAGAAAGTCCCAACAAATCAACAGTACTCCTTGGAAGAAAAATGACCCATGCTATTGCTGCAGCCATCCAGAGCAAAAGCAGCATCATTCAGCGCTGGTTTTTACCATAAGATGCTGCCACAGGAACAAATTGTACCATTTTGCAGGCTGTGAAGCAACCGATAGAGAGTTAGGATTTCCTACCCAGAATTAAAGATTCCAAGAAACATATACACAAACTTTAGTATGATCACTCTATAATTGTTTATCTGTGTGTGTGATATTCAATCCTGGAGGGGAGAGAGGTAGCAAGGAGGAAAGAGGGGGAAAAAATTGAAAGAAACCAATAGCCAATGGGCAAGAGACTTCAAATTCCCAGAACTCCTTTTTGAACATTTTATTTATTTTAACTTTATTTAAAAGGGAGGGAGAGAGATGGGGAGGGGGGGGGGGAGGAGGAGGGAGAAGGAGAGGGAGAATATGAATCTTCCATCTGCTAGTTCACTCCCCATATGCTTGCAACAGCCAGGGATGGGCCAGACAAAAGCTATAAGCCTGGAACTCAATCAAGGTCTCCCACATGAGTAGCAGGGACCCAAGTACTTGAGTCATCATCTGCTGCCTCCTAGGTTGCACATTACCAGGAAGCTAGAGGAGCTGTGACTTGAACCAAGCACTCCATCATAAGATGTGAGCAACCCAAGCAGCATCCTAACTGCTGTGTCATATGCCCTCTCCTCCCTAAATCCTTTAAAGGATAGCTTTAAATAATAAATATTTGTGGAACTTAATTAAGAAGGAAAGAGAAAAAATGATAATGAAGAAAAACATTGGAATAATAAAAATACAGAGTAAAATGGATACGCTGTTATGTATACCTTGATAGTTGATTGATCAGGCAAAGAAAACAGAATTACTATAATTATACTGAGATGATGCAGATATTACATATGCAAAAGTTTATGTATATATGTATAGAAAGCTTACACAGAGTTTATTTTAAAAATATCTCATGACTTCCTAATATACTAGAAGAGAAAATATCATTTAATTTTTTAAATCATGAATTGTCTCCAATCTTCGATTACCATAATCATTATTTAAAATACCAAGGCAATTACCAAAAAATATCTTGGGTAATCAATGATATTTGGGAGGCATGCGTTTGTTGTGGAAGTTAAGATGTTGTTTGGACACCAGCATCTCATTTTGAAGAGTCTGGATTCAGGTCCTGGCCCTGCTTTCATTCTAGCTTCCTTCTAATGTGCACTCTAGGAGGTAGATGGTTATGGCTCAAGTACCCGGGTGCCTTCAACCCATATGAAAAACCTGTTAGGAATCTGGAAAACATTATGCTGAGTGAAATAAGCCAGTCCCAAAGGGACAAATATCATATGTTCTCCCTGATCGGTGACAACTAACCAAGCACCAAAAAGGAAACCTGTTAAAGTGAAATGAACACTATGAGAAACGGTGACTTGATCAGCCCTTGCCCTGAATGTTGATGAACAACTTAATACTTTATCCCTCTTAGTATTTGCTTGTTTGTTTGTTCTACTTAATACTTTTGGTTGAATTCTGTAATCAATACACAGTTATTCTTAAGTGTTGAGACTAAACTGAAAAGTGATCCCTGTTAAATATAAGAGTGGGAATAAGAGAGGGAGAAGATGTATAATTTGGGACATGCTCAATCTAACTTGCCCCAAACAGTAGAGTTAGAAAGGTACCAGGGGATTCCAATTCAATCCCATCAAGGTGGCATGTACCAATGCCATCTCAGATCAGCCAGATCTGACTAGTGAGATGGCATTGGTACATGCCACCTTGATGGGATTGAATTGGAGTCCCCTGGCACATTTCTAACTCTACTGTTTGGGGCAAGTCAGCTTGAGCATGTCCCAAATTGTACATCTTCTCCCTCTCTTATTCCCAAACTTATATTTAACAAGGATCACTTTTCAGTTAAATTTAAAGACCTAAGAATAACTGTGTGTTAATTAAAGAGTTCAACCAATGGTATTAAGTAGAACAAAAAATACTAAAAGGGATAAAGTATTAAGTTGTTCATCAACATTCAGGACAAGGGCTGTTCAAGTCACTGTTTCTCATAGTGTCCATTTCAGTTCAACAGGTTTCCTTTTTGGTGCTTGGTAGGTTGTTATTAATCAGGGAGAACATATGGTATTTTTCCCTTTGTGGCTGGCTTATTTCACTCAGCATAATGTTTTCCAGATTCCTCCATTTTGTTGTAAATGACAGGATTTCTTTGTTTTTTTTTTTTTTACTGCTATATAGTATTCTATAGAGTACATGTCCCATAATTTCAGTCAGGAAAGTGAAGAGGCAACCGACAGAATGGGAAAAAATATTTGCAAACTATGCAACAGATAAAGCCTTAATAACCAATCTACAAAGAGATCAAGAAGCTCCACAAAAACAAAATGAACAACCCACTTAAGGGATGGGTCAAGGACCTCAGTAGACATTTTTCAAAAGAGGAAATCCAAATGGCCAACAGACACATGAAAAAATGTTCAAGATCACTAGTCATCAGGGAAATGCAAATCAAAACCACAATGAGGTTTCACCTCACCTGGGTTAGAATGGCTCACATACAGAAATCTACCAACAAATGATGCTGGCAAGATGTGGGGAAAAAGGGACACTAACCCTCTGTTGGTGGGAATGCAAACTGGTAAAGCCACTAGTGAAGTCAGTCTGGAGATTCTTCAGAAACCTGAATATAACCCTACCATACAACCCAGCCATCCCACTCCTTGGAATTTACCCAAAGGAAATCAAATCGGCAAACAAAAAAGCTGTATGCACCTAAATGTTTATTGCAGCTCAATTCACAATAGCTAAGACCTGGAATCAACCCAAATGACCATCAACAGTAGACTGGTTAAAGAAACTATTTCTTTGTGTTCTTAAGGAGGATGAAGACATAATTTTGAACACATGCCAATTTTTGTACTACTGTATTAAATAGGGCAGGTGAAGCTCTACTATGGGGAGCATTGAAATTTCAAAAATAAAAACTTTAGGTTCTCTATGCAGAAATACAAAAAGATGAATATCTTCTATGGTATTAAATTGATACCAAAACTGTTGGTTAGAATCATGGGAAACTGCAGTCTCTAAATACATGCTCCAAATCCCATTTCATATGTATGTGATGCTATCTACTGTGGCCCCCTGAATGAACTCCACTAGCTCACCTAAATATATCAGCAAGCAAATGAAGTTAATAAATATCTTGCTCACTCAGTTCTGAAGTAGAGACCTCTAAAAATTTACCATACTGCTACACTCACCAATAAGAAAACAAATGAATTCAGTACAGTTTTACTAAACATTGTCTTCAATTAGCCTAGAAAAGTTCAGTTGGTTTGTTTATTGATGGGTACAAGGAAGCCAGACATTAAATATATCAAAAGTAATCAGAAAGAGGGAGAGACAGAGAGAAAAAAAAATATTCCATCTTCTGGTTCATTTCCCAAATGTCTGCAACAGCTGGGACTGGGCCAAGACAAAGCCAGAAGCCTGGAATTCCATTTGGTTCTTCCACATGGATTGCAGGGGCCCAAGCACTTGATTCATTCCCAGCTGCCCTAACAGGCACATTAGCAGGCAGCTGAACAGAAAGTGGAACAGACTGAGCTTAAACCAGGACTGTGTTATGTATAATATGCTGACATCACAGGCAGTGACTTTACCCTCTGTGCCATCACACAGGCCTCCACACACACACACAAAATTTAACAAATTCAAAAAGATCAAAATCATATCTCATGTTGTATTTTTACCACAACAGTATGAAACTAGAAGTCAATAGCAAAAGGAATTTTGAGAAATTCACTAATAACTAGAAATTAAACAAGATGCTCCTGAGTAATCAATGGGTCAAAAAATAAAATGGTAATTTAAAAAATAAAATGTCTTGAATAAATGACAATGTAAAGACAACATATCAAAACTCACGGGATACAGCCAATGTAGGTCCATGAGGAAAATTCATAACAATATATACCTACATTAAAAAGGAAAAAAGATCCTCAATTAATAGTCTAACACATGCTTCAAGAAGCAAACACATCCAAAATTAACCAAAGATTAGCAAAAGGATGGAAAAATATAGATCAGAAAAAAAAATAAATGAAATTGAGAACAGAAAAAACACATGAAGTAAATAAAATCAAGAGTTACTGCTCTGAAAAAGTAACCCAACATAGCCCTTAATAGATTAAGAAAAAGAGAGAAGAATCCAATCAAATCAGAATTGAAAGTAAAAACTTTACAACAGATGCCTTAGAAATAAAAATCATAAGGGGCTATTATGAACAAGTTTAAGCCAACACATTGGATAGCCTAGCAGGAGTGGTAAACATCCCGCCCATGGGCCTAATGAGAGACGTAAAATCATTTGGTCTGACCCTGCCAAGGCAGCCTCAGGTGGAACTCAAAATTCAAAAAATCTACAGGTGCCTAATTTTTAAGTTGAAAATTTTGTATGGTCTGTGAATGACATCATATATATCCAAATGGCCCTTGGCAGGGAAAAGGTTTCCTATGCTTGGTAGAGGAAAAGGATAAGTTCCTATATAATCTAATAAAATTGAATCATGAAATAGAAAGCTCTAACAGATCATTAACAAAGAGATTGAAGAAGAAATAATTTAAAACTTCCAAAAAAGAAATGTCCAGAACTAGATGGCTTCACAACTGAATCTTGCATAAGTTGTTTTTTTTTTTTTTTTTTTTTTTTTTTGGACAGGCAGAGTGGACAGAGAGAGAGAGAAACAGAGAGAAAGGTCTTCCTTTGCCGTTGGTTCACCCTCCAATGGCCGCCACGGCCAGCGCGCTGCGGCCGGCACACCGCGCTGATCCAATGGCAGGAGCCAGGTGCTCATCCTGGTCTCCCATGGGGTGCAGGGCCCAAGCACTTGGGTCATCCTCCACTGCACTCCCTGGCCACAGCACAGAGCTGGCCTGGAAGAGGGGCAACCGGGAAAGAATCTGGCGCCCCGACCGGGACTAGAACCCGGTGTGCCAGCGCCGCAAGGCAGAGGATTAGCCTAGTGAGCTACGGCACCGGCGCATAAGGTTCTTAAAATAGTACTTTTTTTTTTTTTAAGGTCAGAGAGAAAGAGAGGGAGACACAAAGAGAGAGATCTTCTATCCATTGATTCACTCTCTGAATGGCTGCAATGACCAGGGCTGGGCCAGTTTCATCCCGGTCTCCCACACAGGTAGCACCTGAGCCTTCTTCCACTGCTTTTCCAAGGCCATTAGCAGAGAGCTGGATCAAAAGTGGAACAGGCTTTACACTATGCCACAATATCAGACCCTAAAATAGTATACTTAAAAAAGTAATATTGTAGAGTGACTAAAGAGTAAGCTTTATAATTAGACTATCTGTATTCAGAATCCCAATGCCAAAGTCTAATCGGCAGAATAATAAGCCAGTTTATATAGTTCTACTTTATAAACTTCACATAACCTTTTTATTCAACTATATAAAACTAATTGAAATATATATATATTATTTTTTCAAAGGATCTTCTGTGGTTTCATGAATGCTAAAAAGGGCTAAATTCCAGAGTAGTAGCCTCTTATTTACAATTAATGTAAGTCATCATTGAACATTGTACAGTCTTTTGTGGAAATCTAGAAAATACATGTGAATTAAAACTATATGACACAGTGGTGGGGGGCTGCTGTGGCATAGCGGGTAAGGCCACCGCCTACAGTGCCAGCATCCCATTTGTGCCCTGGGTCAAGTTCTGGATGCTCCACTTCCAATCCAGCTCTCTGCTAAGACAGTGGAAGATGGCCCAAGTCCTTGGGTCTCTGCACCTGCGTGGGAGACCTGGAAGAAGCTCCTGGCTCCTAGTTTCACATCCGCACAGCTCCAGCTGTAGCAGCCAACTAGGGAATAAACAGGTGGATGGAAGAACTCTCTCTCTCTCTGCCTCCCCTTCCCTCTCTGTGTAACTTTGACCTTCAAATAAATAAATAAATCTTTAATATACATATATGACACAATAAATTTAGTAAATTTATGGTAACGATCACTAGAAAATAAGCAAGAATTAATTTTTTAAAAAATTATTTATTTATTTGAGAGCCAGAGTGAAAACAGAAAGGGAGAAACAGAGATGTCTTCCATCTGCTGGCTCACTCCCCAAATGGCCACAATGGCAAGGGCTGGGCCAGGCTGAAGCCAGAAGCCAGGAACTTCCCCCAGTTCTCCCTTGTGGGTGCAGGAGTCAAGCACTTGGGCCATCTTCCACTGATTTCCCAGGTACCTTAGCAGGGAGCTGGCTTGGAAGTGGACCAGTCGGGACTCGAAGGATCACCCATATGGTATGCTAGCACCGCAGGTGGAGGCTCAACCTACTATAACACAGTCTCAGCCCTCAAAACTAATTTTATAAAGCCAACACAGTTGAGAATTTGAGAATTTCTTATGTATTGTTTAATCTTATTTCATGGAAGCTGTGGTACAGAGAAGTTAACTTGCTCAAGTTTGTATTTAACTAGTACTACAAAGGCACACAAAGCCTTACATAAAATTTAGTCATGAAGCTCTTGCATCCTTCATTACTTCCTCACCTTTATCCCCAAAGATATCGATTAGTATTTGAGCTAAGGCCCAAGGGTCCGCATTTTTAAGAAAGTCTTCATATAATTATTATTCTCTATACTACACTGTAAAAACCACTATACCATGAGCCAACGCTATGGCACAGAGGGTAAGGCTGCCACCTGAGGCTCTGGCATCCCATATGGGTGCTGGTTCAAGTCATGGCTGCTCCACTTTCAATCCGTCTCCCTGCTGGTGTGCCTGGGAAAGCAGCAGAAGATGCTCAAATGCTTAGGCCCCTGCACCAATGTGGGGGGCCCAGATGAAGCCCCAGGCTCCTGGTTTGGCCTGGCCAGCCCTGGCTGTTGCAGCCATATGGAGAGTGAACCAGCAGATAGAAGATCTCTCTCTCTACAATTCTAACATACAAATAAAATGAGTATATCTTTTTAAAAAGTTAGTACACCATATGATCTTCATCTTCTGATTCTTATATTCTATTTTTCTCAATATTCTGGTCACTATACATTTAAAGGTATCCTAGAACTTGTAGGAATCTTATGTAAACCAGTTTATGGAGCCAGCTTATCCAGCCAACTAGCACACTGCCAACCTGGGGCACTGTTTATATCTAATTGGACACTCTCAACTCAACATAAGGATTTTACATCTGTAACAGCCACTTGCATAATTTTGGACCTATAGTAGATGCTGCTGCTTGAGTGTGTCTCAAGGCAGGAAACTGCCATGAAATTAGAGGAAAGGCTACAGTTTCTGATCTTCATCAAAATAGGCAATGGGGGGGGCATAAGCTGCCCCTAAAGGAATGTGGCAGCCTAGACAGCAGGGGGCTGAATGGATGTTAATTGCAGGAGCATTTGAATGGACCTGTCTTTGAAGATTTACACCACAGTTCTGTTCCCAGTCATGGATCACCAGACTGGATTCCTTTCCCACCTAAAGTTGTACATCAACTGTGCCTATGTGCCAGCTAGCTTGTAGACTTGCTGATACCCTCTAATAGAAAGTGCTGGCCAAAGCAATCCAGGGCACACTCTTCAGGTGAAGATGTCCATGATCTGTCTCACTCATTTATGAAACCCCACACTAGAGCCTTCTAGAAAAATAATTTTATTGAAATATCATTAGAGGGGTTGGCACTGCGTTGCAGTGGGTTAAAGCCCTGGCATGCAGGGCAGGCATCCCACATGGGTGCCCATTCGAGTCTTGGCTGCTCCACTTCTGATCCAGCTCTGTGCTATGGCCTGGAAAAGCAGAAGATGGCCCACGTCCTTGGGTCCCTGTACCTGTGTGGGAGACCCAGAAGAAGCTCCTGGCTACTGGCTTTGGATTAGCTCAGCTCTGGCTATTGGGGCCATTTGGGGAGTGAACCATCAGACGGAAGACCTCTCTCTCTCTCTCTCTCTCTGTATGGCTCTATCTCTATTTGTAACTCTGTCTTTCAAATAAATAAAAATAAACCTTTTAAAAAAAAGAAATATCATTAGAAAAGTTATGCTCTGTATAAAAGCAATATAACTTGTAGTATATTTTAAAAGTTCATATAAATTAAACAAAGCCTTTGGTTAAAAATATTCTATATTTTTACAAGTTATAATGTTACCACTTGTTATCTCTGGGGATTGGTTCCATAACCAGGCAAGGATACCCAAACATATGGATATCCTTATATAAAATTGTTATTTTTGCATATAACTTATATCTTCTCATGTACTTTAGATCATCTCTAGATTACTTATAATATCTAATACAATATAAATAGTCATTATACTGCATTATTTAGGGAATAATATCAAGAAAAACATCTACATGTTTAGTATAGCTGTAGTTTTTTTAAAGATTTATTTATTCATTTAGCCGGTGCCGCGGCTCACTAGGCTAATCCTCTGCCTAGCGGCGCCGGCACACCGGGTTCTAGTCCCGGTCGGGGCGCCAGATTCTGTCCCGGTTGCCCCTCTTCCAGGCCAGCCCTCTGCTGTGGCCAGGGAGTGCAGTGGAGGATGGCCCAGGTGCTTGGGCCCTGCACCCCATGGGAGACCAGGAAAAGCACCTGGCTCCTGGCTCCTGCCATCGGATCAGCGTGGTGCGCCGGCCGCAGCGCGCCAGCCGCGGTGGCCATTGGAGGGTGAACCAACGGCAAAGGAAGACCTTTCTCTCTGTCTCTCTCTCTCACTGTCCACTCTGCCTGTCAAAAAAATAAAAAAATAAAAAAAATTAAAAAAAAGATTTATTTATTCATTTGAAAATGAGAGAGAGAGAAAAGGACAGACAGAGAAAGAGAAATCTATCCATTGGTTCACTCCCCAAATGGCTCCAACTACCAGGGGTGGGCCATGCTGAAGCCAGGAGTGCAGGAGTTTCTTCTGGGTCTCCTACTTGGATGGCAGGGGCCCAAGGACTAGGGTCATCTTCAGCTGCTTTCCCAGGTACATTAACAGGGAGTTGGATAGGAAGTAGGGCAGCCAGTCCTTGAACTGGTGCACATATGGGATACTGGAACTACAGGTGGCAGCTTAACCTACTGTGCTACAGCACCGGCTTCACCTCTGTAATTTTTTTTTTTTTTTTTGGACAGGCTGAGTGGACAGTGAGAGAGAGAGACAGAGAAAAGTTCTTCCTTTTGCCGTTGGTTGGTTCACTCTTCAATGGCCGCCGCGGCCAGCGCACTGCGCTGATCCGTAGGCAGGAGCCTGGTGCTTATCCTGGTCTCCCATACGGGGGCAGGGCCCAAGCACTTGGGTCATCCTCCACTGCACTCCCTGGCCACAGCAGAGAGCTGGCCTGGAAGAGGGGCAACCGGGACAGAATCCGGCGCCCCGACCGGGACTAGAACCCGGTGTGCCGGCTCCACAAGGCAGAGGATTAGCCTACTGAGCCGCAGCACTGGCCTCACCTCTGTAATTTTTAAAAACTATTTTTGACCCTCATTTTATTCAATCTACAGATACACAACCTGCGCAGACAAAGCACTGCCTGTACTTAATGTAATGATTTATTGTTTTATTTAATGTAACTACATTCAATTTGAATTACTTGACCCCCAGCAGAGTCATCAATAAGCACTATCACTGAGTAATGCTGTAATATAAAAAACTATTTAAACTATAGCAAATTCTTTAAGCCCAATACTATTAGCTTGTATATCAAAGCCCTGCATCTGGGTTTATTTCACAGGAAGTCTCAAAACAAATTCAAACTTATGTTTTTTGCCTTTACAACATCTAGAAAGATACTACATTAAATATGCATTAAATAGAAAATTGTTTTCCTTACTAAAAATGTTACAGATAAAAAATATAAGTAATGTGAATAAATATTTGAAGTATAAAGATTTAATTATTCATATGATTATACTTCTAACCATATCTTGTTTATTCTCATTTATAGAGAAATTAATACACATATATTTAACTTACCTCTGTTGTTTGTAGACTGGGATCTATTTCTCTAGTAACTACTCTCCCTAGAAGAAATAAGAAAGAGAAAAACATGTTACACTGGTCAACTGATCTGAATATGTTCAAAAGTATGCAGAGGGACTGGTGCTGTGGCATAGTGGGTAAAGTCACCACCTGCAGTGCTAGCATCTCATATGGGCACCAGTTTGAGTTTCGGCTGCTCCACTTCTGATCAAGCTCTCAGCTATGTTCTGGGAAAGCAGTAAAAGATGGCACAAGCCTTTAGGCCCCTTGCCCACATGGGAGACATGGAAGAAGCTCCTGGCTCCTGGCTTCGGATTGGCACAGTTCTGACTGTTGTGGGCCATTTGGAGATTGAACCAGTTGATGAAAGACTTTCTCTCTTTCTCTCCCTCTGACTCTGCATCTCTGTAACTCTGACTTTCAAATAAATAAATAAATCTTAACAAAAAAAAGTTTGCCAAAGGTGAAAACAAAAATTGAGCAATGATAAAAAAGAAAGCTCAAAGGAAAATACTGGAAGAAAATGTAGATTTTTCTGGAACTAAACTGTTCCAAACAGCCTCCAACAGAAGTCTCATTAAAAACTGTTTAGAAGAATAGTAAGATAAGGATATGTAGGAAAAATATCACCCAGTAAGAAATAAACTCAACTCTCATCAGTACAGTTCTCAATCCATACCTACCAAACTGCCGAGACAAAGACATCCAACAGTGCTGTTCAATGATATCTCTTAGTTATCACTATATGAGTTTTCATATTCTCTTTGACTTGTTTTCCCGGAATTGAACCAGACTGGTTGCAAGTAAAACAGTACCAGAACACGACCATTTTCGAAATAGGCCAAATTACTACTCACCCCCCAGATAGAGTCACCATGGTTAGGTGAACCATTAGGACTCAAATAAGTTTCTGACTGTAAAAAAGGTAACAGAGAATTTAAATACTTATTCCCAAGTAATTCCAACTTGGAAAAATACTGAGAAATATTTGTTAATATTTCCATAAAATGCTTTTGAAGAAAATATCACAAGGGAAATCAAATAAAATATTACTACCACTTAAAAATCATTCCAAAGTAACAGTAATTCTGTAAGAGTTGGGATATATTCTGAAAACACAGAAATTTATAAATCAGTCATTTGTACATCTTTTTCATAATCCAAGAAACACAATTCATTCCACAAAACAATATTTAATATATGTTAAATGAAATTAATTGTACCTAGTTCACAATAGTACAATTCTTTTTCACAGATGATGCTAATCACTCAGCTATTCTTCCTAGTCATTAAGTCCATCACATAAATGAAACTATTATATGTGGATAAACTCCAAAGCTTCCTACCAAGCAGCATAGTTATTAACTACTCATTTGTTAAAATAAGGCTATGTGAAATAATCATTGATTTGTAAGAAACAGTTACTTCACGTAAACTGTATTTTACTTTTAAAAGTAGAGGCAGGGGCCAGCACCGTGGCTCACTTGGTTAATCCTCCGCCTGTGGCGCCGGCATCCCATATGGGCACCAGTTCTAGCCCCGGTGCTCCTCTTCCACTCCAGCTCTCCTCTGTGGCCCAGGAAGGCAGTGTAGGATGGCCCAAGTGCTTAGGCCCCTGCACCCACAAGGAAGACCAGGAAGAAGCAAGCACCTGGCTCCTGGTTTCGGATTGGCGCAGTGCTGGCCGTAGTGGCTATTTGGGGAGTTAACCAATGGAAGGAAGACTTTTCTCTCTGTCTCTCTCTCTCACTGTCTGCAACTCTACCTGTCAAATAAAAAAAAAGTAGATGCATGGTTCATATCTTTGATAACAAAAGACAGGGATCATTCATGATGTAAAATCTTTGTCTTTGACAGACTATGTTAATTCTTTCAAATTAATTAAAACCAGCCTACCTCTCCAGCTTCACTCTCTTGCCCTCTTAATCCAGCCCACCAGTCTTCTTTTAATCCCGTATGCTTTCCTTCAGATTCCTCTCTGAAGTGCCTTAGCTCCTAATTATTCCTCTGCAAGGAATGTATAACTTATTCCCTGCCACTCCCCTCCCCCAACCTACCCCAGGGTAATTCTTCACCACATCCTTCAGCTATAAGTTTGAAAGTCACATTCTCATCAGAAAAGCCTTCTCTCACCTATCTTTTTCAAATCACCTAATATATGTCTACTCGATGGCATTTCTCACAGTTTCAATTTTAAATGATTTTGTGTGCTTTTTTATTTATATTTTTTACTGCCCCAAAGAGTGAAAGTTCCTGAAAGGTGGGCATAATATCTGATTTTGTTCTCTATAGCACAGTGATTGGCAAATGAATGTTGCCTGATAAATGTTCATAGAAAAAAAAAAAAAAGGAACAAGCAGGCCAGTAAGAGAAGTGTTTCTTCTATTGCCTTTGTTGCCAACGATGAGACAAAACATGTTGAGAACTACACATGTGCCAGGCACTGTAGTCAGTTTCTTACAGAATCTGTTATGTACATGTAATGAAAGTTACATTGGCAAATGACAATCTTTTTCAGGAGTCAGTATTTCAATATGTACAGTGATGAAATTAAACTAGAACAGATGTCTCAAATTTGAATGTCCACAGCGGGCTAGAAGACTACTCAAGTGAACTGCATACATTTAGCGAACGTTAAGAACACAGTGAAGACATGACAGCTCTAGATGATAACCACCATGCAACAGGGCCCCAGACTCTACAGAGCTCAAGATTTTTCAAGATAACTTTCTGTTTGGTTTTTAATGTAATCCAATCTTTAAATATGTAATGTAATTTAATGTAATCCAATCTTTAAATACGAGAATGTTTTTGAAAATATTTATGAATCCCAAAATAAATTCATTTCTATCAGACTCAGATGTCAGGAAACTCCAATGAAATCTGAATACAAAGTCTCGTAAAGTGTGATAGTTGATTTTATAGCATCAACTTGAATGGATTAAGGAATACTCAGTTCAGAAAAAGGGAGACCCTTATTTTGAATGTGTCTATGAGGATGTATACAAATGGGATGAGCGTGTGAATCTGAGCGGACTAGGTGGGCAGATTTGGCTTTGGGGAAAGCAAGCACCAACAACTGGCTAGGGATCTGGAGGAACCAGGTGCAGAAGATGCACTGTTACCTTCTCTGAGAGCTATGACTTGCCTGACTCCTGCCTTGGACATCAGATTCTGATCCTTGTAGTCCAGGACCTTATGGCAGCAGTCCCCTTGCTGGCACTTGGGCTTGGGCCTCAAACTGAGAGAACTACACCCACTGCTTTGGGACTGGAACTGAGCCATGCTACTGACATTCCAGGGTCTCCAGCCTGCAGTAAGCTGCCCTGGGACTTCTCTTTTGCCATAAATAAATCTCCCTTCATATATCTCTATTCATATCTTATCAATTCTGTGTTTTCTTGAGAACCTTGACTAATACATAAAGTTTCAACCAGCTCTGACTCTATGAGATTTATTCCTTAAAAGAGTTTGCTATTCTGCATTTCATGTGGGAATTTTGATAGCACAATTTCTCTAAAGGCTCAAGCCAAAGGCAGCTTCTCTTGTGACTTCTTTTGAGTCCCCGATATAATACCAATGATTTGTGTCAAGCGCATTTCAGTTCTTACAAAAGCTACTTGAAGGTGCACCCTGGCTGGCGCGGTGGCTCAATAGGCTAATCCTACACCTGCGGCGCCGGCACACCAGGTTCTAGTCCCAGTCGGGGCGCCGGATTCTATCCCGGCTGCCCCTCTTCCAGTCAAGCTTTCTGCTGTGGCCCGGGAGTGCAGTGGAGGATGGCCCAAGTCCTTGGGCCCTGCACCCACATGGGAGACCAGGAGGAGCACCTGGCTCCTGGCTTCAGATCAGCGGCAGTGCGCTGGCCGCAGCACACCGGCTGCGGCGGCCATTAGAGGGTGAACCAATGGTAAAGGAAGACCTTTCTCTCTGTCTCTCTCTCATTGTCCATTCTGCCTGTCAAAAAATAAAAATAAATAAATAAAAAAAGGTGTACCCTCTATTTTACATAGGACAAAACTGCTCATGCCCTCCTTAATGAAAAAAAAAACCAGTTCTTGGTTGAGGTAAGTTGAATTAGCCTAACTGGGTCCCCAAAAAAGACATTTTTTTCTTCTTGCTACAAGTTACCAAAATAATACATGCAGATTTTTTTGATACTCCCTGTCACTGATTCCATGGCAAAGCTATATAAGCTCATTAAAGCTCTAAGTGATGGCTGTAAATTTCCCTAGAGAAAGGGAGAGGAAGTCATAATGATGATACACAGAACTGCATGAAATAAGGCAACAAGCAGCAAGATGAATATTTTCCAGTTAGTATAACACTTCCGGGTTGATTGTCTTTAATTAGCAAGCACTGCAACATTATATTACTAGAGAAAAATACACTGACTGATAGCTCTTTTTATGTTTGTCTTTGATAGAATACCATTAACTAACATCGTCATTCCATTACTCTGGATGCCAAGAACACCACCACATCAACATAAAGCTAAGATGCAGGTACTGTTTTGTGAAACTTCCATATTAAGCGATGCTTTTTAAAAACTTTCTCTTTTTTCTCCCAGTATCACATTAAGTTGGGACTTCCTATGGTTTTGGTGTAGCTGTCACCTAGGATTCTACTGCAATTGGAGGTTTGATCCCTAGGATGGTGGTGTTGGAAGCTGAGGAAAGCTATGAGAGGTGAGGTCTAGTGGGAGGGTCCTTAGGTCACTGAGGATGTGAGGCAATTTTTTGGTGGCCCCTTGGTAAAACCCTTCAGTTCTAATTGAGAAGGTTGTTAAAATTTAAGATAGAAAGGACCAAGATGACCCTCCCCTCTCTAAATTTCTGGTTCCCCCATGCAAGTTTCCATCACGGTCATGTACCACCAGAAGTAATATACACCAGAATTACACCAAAAGAGGCACCAAACAATGCCCTTGAACCTTCAAACTGGGAGCTAAGTTCTTCTTTTTCTTTGCAAGTAGCTTATTTGACATTTCATTAATTTTCATTATGATAAAAAAGCTGATTTTCTAGTCATTGAAATGGGA